GGCAGAGTCTGAGGCGGCGGAGTCTGAGGCGGCGGAGTCTGAGGCCGGCGCTTGGAGCCGGGGCGGGGCGGGGTCCTGCTGTTAAGGCTCTTCGTTTCTCCTGACAGCTCGTGAGGTGAGCACAGTCGCCCGTGAGGTAAACGTCGAGCTAGTGTAAGGACGCTGGCGTTCTGTGGAGCCCGCGCTTGGGTTCGGGTTGGGCCGTTCTCTGTCTCCCGTGGCCGCCTGTGGCGGGAGAGGGAGTCTACGGGATTCGGAAAAGAGTGCAGGGAGGATGGCGTTTAAATGGAGCCGTGTGAGGGCCCAACACCGAGTGTGGACTGCGGAGCCGACCCGTCAGTGTCTCAGGAACGACACAGGACGGACTGGGAGGGCCGCGTCCAGAACCCCTTCTCTGAGGCTGTGCTTCTGGTCGGAGGTCGCGGCTGCTCGGCGTCGACGTGACGTCGATCCTCCAGGCAAGAGTGGGATCTTCCAGAGTGTCTGAGAGCTTAGGATTTTAGAGAAGAAAGTTTCTCCATGAGTAGCATGTGCTTGTGAGAAATAGCGTTTCCTCTGCAGCTGACTTTATCTGTGTCTGGCTTTATCTGGCAGGGCAGATTTTTGCTTCCTCAGCACCGGTTAATTTTTACTTTCTGGCCACTCTGGACTGAGGGCTCAGGGAGGACTTCCCTGAGGAAGTGTTGAAAGCACGGCATCAAAGGTGCCTTATCGTGCCCCATGCTATATGATTCCAGTCTTGAAACATTCACGCAAAGGCAAAACTATTGAGAGAAAACAGAGCAGTGGTTGCCTGGGATTGGAGGGCTAACCAAAAGGGGCATAAAAAGGGAACTTGGGGGCGGATGGAACTGTTCTAAATCGTGATTGTGATGGTGGTTACACAACTGCATATGCCTGTCAAAACTCACAGAAATGTACAATAAAAAGGCTTGAATTCTACAGCTATAGATGGGAGATACCAAATGTTGGTGAGGATGTGGCATGCTTTTGGAACACTCATATGCTGCTGGTGGGAGTGTAAAATGGGTTAAGCATTGGGAATCAGTGTGGCAGTTTCTTACAAAGTTAATAGACACCGTCCTATGGCTTAGCACTACCGCCATAGGTATTTACCCAAGAGAAATGAAAACATAAGTCCACAAAGACTTGTAAAAGAAAGACTGTGGCAACTTTATTCATAATAGCCCCAAACTGGAAGAAATCAGTGAATGGATGAACAAATCGTGGAATTGTTATATGATGGTCTACTACTCAACAATATGGAAGAATCTCAAAAACATTATGCTATGCAAAAGAAGCGAGGCATAAAAGAGTGCTATATGATCCATTTATATGAATCTTAAGAACAGGCAAAACTTAGTGATAGAAATCAGAACAGTAGTTGCCTCTGGTGGAAGGTGGTTAACCAGAAAGGGGCATGAGGGAACTTTCTGGTGTGAAGGAAAGGTCCTATATCTCATTTGGGTTGGTAGTTACCCAGCTACACATTTGTCAAAACTCACCAAACGGTACACTTAAAATCAGTGCCTCTTCAATGTGTAAATTATGCCTCCATTTAAAAAAGGAATAAAGAGTACCTTCTTCAAATGAAATCTTACCATTTGTTGTTGTTTTTAATTACTAAGTACGATGAGCCCTCTGTCCCTAACCCCTTCCTGATTTTGACATTTTTATGAATATATGCCATTGTGAACACCAGGTTCTGGACCTGACCATCTGGGGTGATACCTGGTCTGCCCCCCTGAACTGCTAGGTGACTTTGGGTGAATTACTTAATCTCTCTCTGCTTCAGTATTCTCAGCTGTAAAATGGGGATAACAGCACCTGTCTCGTGGATGAGGATTAAATAATATATGCCAGCCTTTGCTACAGAGCCACTGCATGGTGAGGGCTTAATAAATGTTAGCATTATTACTCTTATAGTTAAAAAATTTATATACATTATTTAAATTTATTGAAACTGAGTAAATAAGGGGTATCAGGGCCCTCCCCATCATAAAAGGTCTTCTCATAAGGGATTTATGTTTACATGAATCCAAGGAGTTCTGAGAGAACTGATTTACAAAAGTGTAGTAGAGACTGTTGCCACCCAGTATCCATTTTCCCTTCTTCCTTTAATAGCAGAAACTTCCCTTGTGGCTAGACATTACTGCTGTTAGCCAAAAACCATTTTCTAGCCTCCCTTGCAGCTACCTGTGGCCAAGTGACTAAGCTAAAGCAACGGAAGGTGAACTCACCGTGATGTATGCACCTTACACAGGGAACTCAACATACCTTCTTCCATTTCCTCTCTGCCCATTTCACTTTGGAAATGCAGGTGTGAACTGGAAACTGGAGATGCTGTCCTAGGCTGCAAGATGGAAGCTAGGGATTAAAAGAGAAATGGAAGACATTTTTGTCCTCAGCATCATGAAGCTGCCGTGAGTAGTCCTGTTCTTATTCTGGTGTGGTTACATGAGAGAGAAACTTTTCTCATTTAAGCTGCTGAATTTTGGGGTGTCTGTTACAGTGGCCTCACCAGCCTAATTGGTATTTTAATACCAGGACTTTCTATGGAATAGAGCCAAAAGTAAGGGACCCTATTCTGGCCCTGTCCTCTTCGCCACCACATGATACAGTCTACTCGAAATTCAATAAGACTGGAATAATAAAGAGGAAAAAATAAGAGGTCTCATTTCTAATTTTCTAAAGGGAAAATAGAACTCTATTGTTAAGAAGCCAACCCTATTAATTTTGAGGCAGAAGTGAGAGAATTTGAGATGTTAACAACTGCAGTAGAAGTGGATTTACAACGAATGAATAGAAATTAAACTTGGAAGAATTGATGGCCTTTTTTGATACCAACAGACTTGATATAATTCCTAATTACAGTTTGTCAAACTCCTAGCCCTTACTTCATCCCAGGTCATGAGGCAGTCAGGGACAATTGAGTGGGGACAGTGAGTCACCACAATTGAGTAATGAGTTCTGTTTTTCATATGCATGTGTGGATATCCTTAAATGAGAGAAGAGTGAGAGCAGGCTTGTTAGGAGATCAAGAGAAATTTGGGATGGCAGTAGATGAGGCTGAGGCCAGAAAGTGGGAGACATTGTTGATCTTGCTGACATTGAGACCAATGGAAAGTCACAGAGGATTTTATCAAAGGAATAACAGGATCAGCCTTGTGTTATAAAAAGATGCCCCTGCTACAGCCTATGGAGTGCATCAGGAAGGTGTGGGAGTGGATGCTGGGAGGTTTGTGTGGATTTGCATAACTAATGCAAGGTAAGCACAAAGACTGACCCCTAGACCTGGCTGAGGACTGACTGCCATTCTGTGAAAATGCCGCACTGGGATAATACACGCCTTCAGACAGTATTTCTTGAATTTATGATGAGGCACCTTAGACTGCAATAAAGGTATGAATGAGTAAAGGTAAACCACCCTAACTGTTTAATACATATATTGTGAATTGAGAGGAGTTAAGTTCCAGCTAAAATAATCTTTGCAGCATTAGGCTTTATACCTTACAAAGCTAATTTAGATGTATTTTAATTAATCCTCACAGGCGACTGAGGTAGGTGGAGCAAAGTGACAATATCCCCACTCAACAGGAACCAGGAACAAACCATAGATCATAGCAAGGAGTAGCTAATAATCTTTTTCATCTATTTTCAGTGTTAATTGGATTTGCTTATTTAAAAGGATGTACGTCCATTAAGACTTGTCAAGAAATAAATGCTTACTTTATGGAAATCCAGCTGCATATAATGTTACATTCAGGGTCTAGTCAGGAAACAGAGTCCATGGCAGGTGGCTCAATAGAGAAAATTGGATCCTGGGAACAGGGAAGCCAAACTGGAAGCAGCACGGAATAGCAACAGCAGGAAGTCAGTGCCAGCCACAGTCAGTGGAGGGGATAAATGGTGCCTAGAGACTGGGGCCTCCTCGTGAGGTTTACTAAAGCCATGGAGAAGATGAAGCCGTTGAGAAAACGCCACCCCCAGCAGAAGGGGAAAGGGTCAAGATATCCTAGCTTCTCCCTACCCTTTAATCTGTATTTGGTTGAATTTAACTGAAGCCTAGTTGGCGGGGGAGCCTGGGAAATTTCATCTGCAGATTAGCACAGGGTTATTTCATACAAAGGAGTCAGGTTCTTGCCAAATTTTCAGAGATCGTCAATGAAGGATCCGAACCCGTTACCGACGAGTCAGTCCTGACTCATAAGAGACCCTCAGGACACTACAGAACTGCCCCACAGGGGTTTTCCAAGGAGCGGCTGGTTAGTAGCTGAGCTCTTAACCACTGAGCCACCAGGGCTTCTCAATACAGGACAGATATTATTTAACCCTATTCTTAAATTTCCTGTATTAGCAATATTCTGTTTCGGTTAGCTGTATGTATCCACCATTTCTGTACCAAATTAGCAAGGAAGGAAATCCCCCAATTGTTGTTTACATGTCTCTTTAAAGTCACTGAAGTAGGCTAAATGAGGCTTATTTGTTCAGTGAAAATCACAATGTTCAACACACTTGGTCACTTGCTGAGTAGGATGAAACGTACTGTCTTCCAGCCCTCAGTGCCCTGCTATCTAGTAGGAGAAAAAAGAAACCCCTAGAGATAAGTATAATAAAAATGATACAAAATGGCATAAAGTAGGTCCATGTATGTAAATACAAATGGGTAGGAGTATTTTGGGTTGGGGATCAGGGAAGATTTTATACAGGAGAGAAGATTTGAGCTAAGTCTGTTTTCCATTCACTGTTATATGTATCCCTAGGGAATACTCAGCGGTGAGCTGGAGCCAGCTCATATCTGTGATAATAGACATCTCTTTCCAACTCTGAGTTCAATGACATCATGTCAGGGCTTGAAATCTGCCCCGGTGCAGGTATTTACACCTAGGAAATCCTCAAATGCTACAAATCAGGCTTTTCCCTCCGGAGAGCTGGTTGTCAAAAAGCTCTGGGTATAGTGCTTGACAAGTAACAAGCACTCAAATATCTTCCTAACCAGTAAGTTAAGGAAAGGCAGAGGCAGCACAAAGGGAGAGCACAATGCTTGATCAGGGCAAGGTCAGTAGGCAAGATGCTGGAGCATACCATCTGTAGAAGTGCATGTCAGCTCCTTGAGGGTCGGAACTTTGTCTTGTTCACTGTTATATTCCCAAAGGGCACTGCTGGCACTTAACGGACACTTGTACTGGTCAGGATACAGTACAAATCTCAAGAGGCTTGAAAGAACAAGGTTTACTTCTTGTCCAAACTTCATGTCCATTATGGGTCAGCTGATCCACATTGTCCACACTCAGGGACTCATGTTGATGGAGTACCACCACCTTAAAATGTTGCTAGCCATGGTTGAGGCAAAGAGAGCTCTGGAGGGAGGTCTTGCAGTGGCCGTTCATTGCTCTAGCCTAAAAGCAACACATACCATGTCTGCTCCCATCTCATGTGCTAGAGTTAGCCATATGCATCCCCACAAGCATAAGAGGCCAGGAAGACACATCCTACCATTTTCCAGGGGAGGCAGAGAATTAGGAATATCTGATGGAAGAGCACTAATGACTACCACAAAGCTCAATAAATGTTTGTTTACTTAACTAAGAAATAAGGTGAAAAGATTAATTTGGGCTAGATTGTAGAAGATGTGAAAGCCAAGCTGTGTGTACTGAACCTGATCATGCAAGGACCAGTGAGTCATTGAAGGTTTTAAGCACTAGAATGACATGATCAAACATGTTCTTCAAATAGGAATGGGAGGAAGAAGATTCTGAAGACCAGGAGACTCATTACAGGGCTGTTTCCATAACTAAGCTAGATTCTAAGCTGACCCAAAGAAGTGAGGGGGCATGAAGTGCAGAAACACTCTGAAGGAACTGTGGCCATGGAGTTGGCTGGATAACAGAGACAAGATGAAGGCAGAGTCAAAGATGGCAGCCTTTACGTTAAGAAACCAGAGTGGTAGTATCACTAACACAAACACAGAAATCAGAAGTCAAAGGGATTTGTTTTCTGGATGAAGAAGAGGCAGTTAGCTTCCAATACATTGAACTTTAACCCTTTGGTGACCCAGTTATTTTCTGCTTTGAATTTTTTGTTGATACCATGTATTTTCATTAATGGAAGCATGCTGAATCACTGTGTCTGAATTTTTGGTAAGTAGAATGAATTTTTTTTCTTGCCCCCTCCCACAAGCCTACCTTGAGTGTTTAGTGGTACATATGAAGTACTACTAATCATACCTCAGAGTTCCCACCTGGGTCTATTGGGTACATATGTGTGACAAATAAACATGTTCAAAATTTCTATTTTTCCCACCAAAAATTCAGACACTTCATACAATACCCTGTAAAAACAGTAATTTGTGGCACACACCTGTTTCTTCAGTTTCAAACAGTCATAAAGGTCTCTGCCTTGTGGTAGCACGCACTGTCAGTGGTACAGCGGCTTCCCAGTAAGCCCCAAAAGCTGAAGAAGTTCATAGTCGCTGGATGCACCACTGGGCATAAAAAGGTTAAGGATTGGGAAAATGCACTTTGACATTTCCATTAAGTATTTCGAAATGCACATTTAAAGCTCAGGAGGGATTTTCACACAAATGAATCATCTGCGATGCTTTAAAAGCCTGGTAATGTTCCCTTGTGGAGTTCTGCCATTTTTAGGGTATTTAGACATGATACTCATAAAAATATTTTACTGTAAAAGTGAAGCCTGAACCAGATTGTTTTCTGGGGAAAAAAAAAAAAAAAAAGCCCACAATCATTTACTTCAGTGCTTCCCAAACCAAGGTGAAGGCGGGCTGAATATATCAGAATCTCTAGAGGTGCTTCATTGAGTTGCCCACCCCTACCCACAAGATACTGCTATGATGCATATACAGCAACTGGGGCCCTGATGGAACTGCTCTTGTGGAAAGATGTTTCTGGTATCATCAGTACTTGGAGTGCCTCTGCCTGGAGTGCCACACTGAGTGACTCACATACATAATCTCAGTCTTCATAACCTCCAGGAGCTACAATTACAGCTCTAATGTAGAGCTGGAGGCTGGGTTTAGAAATGCCCACGGCCTGCCCGAAGGTCGCCGGGTACCCACACTGACTTTAAAGCCCAGGGCCCCCACTAGTGCTTAATTATGCCTCACAGACATGTGAGCAAGGGCACCACAAAGAACTGTAGAGACAGCTCAGCAACAGTTTAATATCTGCTATTGTTTCCAGGAAAAATGCCTTTATCAAAGTATACTTTTTACTAGAATCTGTAGTATTCATTGTCAAATGAAAACATGCATAAAGGCAAGCAGAAAGAATCCCAATAAATGCTTCTGATTTTAGAAATTACTGGTTACTGAGAATTCTTCTCATCTAGGAGAAGCTGGGGACTCTTCTGACAAATAGCATGTTTATCCACCAAACTAGATGGCAGAGGTGTACACAGTCCTCTTTCGTATTTCCTATATAACCTGCTTCCTGATGCTGCAAAAGGTATGAGATTTCTGAGTGACCTGGTGATTTTTAAACACTGTGCCTCCCATCCATGATTAGTCAGCTGGTCTGCACTCCTGGGTCCTACTTTTCATTCACATTCCTGCCAATGCTTGCCACCACTCTAAGCCAGGAAGTTGGTACCCATAAATTTATGCCAAAATCACTCTCGCCACACCCACTATACAACTTTATAAGAGGGTATAGCACAGAACATCTATTTGATAAGTGGATTCAGCTTAGAAAGTAAATTCATCAACTAGTTAGTTCGATGCCTGCAAATGTTTATGCAATTTTACAGGCAAAAGGAAAAAGTTCAGATACGTGTAAGCCCCCTTAACAGTTATTATAGACAAGAAGGATTACATCCTCAATATTTCAGAAAGTTAAGGCCACAACAGAAGGTGGTCAGGGAATTTTTGTTTAGATCCGTGTAGTACATGTATTGGGGCTCTAGTGGCACAGTGGCTAAGAGCCACATGTATCATCTGACCCTTGATTATAGAACCTAATAAAGTGGAGTTACAGGGGCCAAAGAATCAAATTCTGTGATCACCCATTTATTTCTCTTTTTCTATACATTTTTTACCATGCTCGTCATTAATGATAACATTTAACTAAGAACTCTCTACACCTTGCTAACTCTTCTGCTCAAAAATAAAGCGTGGATAAAAAAGACAGGAGGAATTGGGGAGTCACAAAATCAAGATCTGAGAATCTGCGATCAACTGCTGCCAACAAGTGACGGTGACAGGACACTGAGACTCTAGTGTAGGAGGAGTCACGGGCACAAGCTGATAGCCCTGAAGAGCAGCCGTCATCCTTTACTCTTGGTTCCCTCAGAAGTACATTGTTGTTCCTATAAACTCTTCCCTCCTTTTGTACTTGCATATGTCAACAAGTGAAGTGTGGGCTAGATAGGGAAGAAATATGGCAAATTGCTGCCACTCTTCTACTTTAGTCAAAAGCAACTATAAAAAGATTTCACAACCCGGATGAAACTTTGGCAGAACAGTAAAATTCTCTTTTACAACAAGGCATCTGAATGGAGTATCTAACAAAATGAGATAAAAAAAAATCACTCCCAAATATGACAAAATATACTTAAGTATTAAAATGAAGCCCACAATGAAATATGAAAATCTTTACCAAAAATAGTTTATTGCACAAAATTTAAGGAATTCCCAAGCACACTTAAATTTTTAGAAAATCAACATGCTTTTGAAAGTCACAATTGTACACGGTGCCACATTTTTCCTAGAAAAGTCCCAACCTGAGGACTCCCTTTTATGAGTAAATTTTTAACAGAAATGAATTAATGACTCAAAACCACTGGATCTCCTAGAGCCTCTCTAAAACATTATTCTTCAAGGATCGTATCATAACCCAAGACCACATATGATGAGACTTGCTTGGCATTTCCAGTCAATAAACTTGTTTGTAAAAGGCCCAAATGTCTCCACATCCCAGCATTACTCATGCCACAGACATCCTTTAAAGGAAGGCCCCAGGACATTTCTTTTTCAAATACACTGGTCACTTTCATCCCTAGAAATCTTTACATGAGGCATTTAATTTTTATTAAAACAAAAACTCATGGAACTAGGAATATATGTCATGACAACTGCAGACCATGGCTTCTGCAATATCACTCTACCAAGAAAAGGTAAGTTTTTAAACAGAAAGAATGGCGAGAATCATGAAAAGCTTCCTAATGCAGTGTCAGAATTTTACCTGCACCACAGGATCTCCTTCTGAGCGGGGCCGGTTGCATTACCTGGACCCCAATCTGTACCGATCAGAGTTAAGAGTCAGTTTCACATCCTATTAAAAACATGGCCTGTCACATCTTCCAAAGGGTGGAACGAATGTTGAATCTATAAGATCCACGGCATCTATATGACACGTACTGTGGGAAAATCAACAATAACCACGTTGCAATGAACTTTGGGGGGAATTAAGAAAACCAAGTGACATCATGACGTGTCCAAGCCAACATTACTTACGATAAAAACATCATATCCAGTGTGCATACATTTAACATGCACAAATATGATGCAGTAGTGAACCTGTTTATTTATAAAGTAATAATTCAGATTTGATTGTTGTTTTCCATTAGTATATTCCATAATTCCCTGTTTCTGCCCACAACAAGAACAGTATTTCAAACTTTACTGATTAAAGAATCTAGCTCTGGGAGGCAGAAGTGCCAGGAGAGTTCCACAACAAGTCAAAACCAGAAAACCAAACCCGCTGCTGTTGAGTCGATTCCGACTCTTAGTCACCCTACAGGACAGAGTAGAACTGCCCCACAGGGTTTCCAAGGAGCAGCTGGTGGATTCAAACTGTTGACCTTTTGATTAGCAGCTGAGCTTTTAACCATTGCGCCACCTGGGCTCCACAACAAGTCAACAACAGGCAAATTAAAAATCAATTTTCTTTTTAAGGTGACTTCTGAAGGAAGCCTAAAGGCAGTGTCAGCTTTAACCCAAGAGGCCTCAATCTGGAACCCCAGGCTATACAATAAAATAGGAGGAACAAACACAAAATACTAACATACAGTGGGCAGGAACAGCCCAGTGCCTCATGGCAGTGATCAGAGAGTTCAGACCCAAGACAAAGGCTGGGTACTCGCTGAACCAAAAGACGAGAACGTACAGTGAAACTGGCACACAACGATGACAGAAAACAGAGGTGGTGCCGTTTCTAAGGGTGTCCACGTGTGGCCACACACACACACACACACACACACACACTCGTGCACGTGTGCACACGGCGGGTAACTAGATGAAGGAAAGAAGGAATGAGGAACAGATTTGCTTTTAGTTGATGAAAATGTTCAGAAATAGTTTTATCCTTTCCTACGAAAAAAGCACACAATGAACATTACTCACTTGAAGACCTTCTATCAGCAAGTACGAGAAAGCAGCTCTGCTGTAGAATAAGTCTAAATGTTATTTCTTAGTTTTAAAATTAAAACAAAGGATAATACAGCCAAAATAAATAAGAATGGACATTACCATTTTTCTTCTCTAATGGTACAAAAACGATTTCTAACTTAAGATAAAGAGTAGGATATATTTATAGTGAAGTTTTCAAGTATTATTTCGAGATTAACCCTGTACAAATGATATATTTTAGAAATTCCAATACTTGCTAGGGAATTTTTTTTAAATACTAAACATCTTTGTGATTAATGCTACTTAACCTTGTCAATTAAGCTTCTAACAACATATTACAAGAGAACACAAACAGCTTAAAAATACCATACTGTTTTCTCCACAAAATAGACATGGTAATATATCAACATAAGCAAGTCTGGACTGATCAGTAACACTTCAAAACTTCATTTTCAGACCAGTCGATCTGCATAGGAGCCACATGGACCCATTCTCTTGCTTCTCTAATTTATAACAATAAATATTATCTTAGATTTTCTTAGCAAACTAGAGGGAAAAACTTTACAAACCTCAAGTCTCACAACAGTTTCTACAGTGTTCAAATGCTTTAAGTGGGAAAAATGTATACAAATAAAATTTCATGTACTTAGGGTGACTGATTTTAAAATAAGGCATTCTATTAATGAGATGCCTCAGGAGACCACATTGCTTATCTACCTAGTGTTGACCTATCTCTTATTGACATCAACGCCGCTAAAGGGACTTCTAACCCTTTTGATCAGGGTGTAAGCAACTCAGCACTCAGTTTCTCTGACTGACTACCATCCGATAGAGGAGTTCTTAAAACCCCTAGTAAACACTTTGACTTTGGGTGCAGAAGTGTGAGGATAAAAAGCCTTGGTACCTCGCCCAGCAATCTGCAAATGGGGGAGGATCGAGTAAAACGTGAGTACCTACAGGAGCCCCTGGCCACACCCTTTTCTCCTCCTCCTTCTCTGCTTTCCTTTCTCTCCTATGTTGGCCTTTCTTGTCTCCGTTCTCCTCAGATGTCAGGGCAGCTTGCGAGAACCACTGCATCCCTGGGTGCCTCCTGGTGGCTGTCAGGTCTAAGGAAGGATCCCAACCCTGCTCCTCACTGGTGGGTTGGCCAAGGTGTGATAGAGATCATGCAGGGCTCCTGTACTTTTGAAAAGAAACAACAGTGAAGGAAAAGACACTAAAAAATAAACTGAAACTAGAACAAAGAACCCTTTTTGTGCAAGAATATTTGGTTTGAGAAGATACAGTAAATAAAATAATTGTATTTCTTAAAATATATTCTTCTGACTGACACACCTAAATCCTACATGTACATTATTTCCTGACAGCAAATTCTCAAAAGGCAATGAATAAAAAGACAATTCAGGTCATTCTCAAATAATATAAGCATATATTTTTTAGAGATTAGATAATGATTTTCTGTATTTATATATACATTCTATGGTGGGATGGCTATTTTCAAATAAAGTAAAATAAAAAACCAAAAGTGCAAAATAAAGTTTCATTCCTGCAGGAAAGTAAAGCTCTTGTGGAATCAAACAGGAAAGTGAGGCCTCGCAGCACCCATCCAGGTGCAACCCAAAGGGACGTGTGACCCCCAGAGAGCGGCATCTACCATCACTCATGAGATATGGCCTTCTGCAAATCACCCTCCGGACACACTGAGAAATTTCTCACTTAAATTTAAACTAGGTTTTTAAAATTTGGTCATTTCTGGGAAAAAGCTAACTGTGATCTGCAAACGACTCACTTTCAACCTTGGCTCTCATCCTGTTATTCTGCTTGTTAAAGGCATAAGCTAAACCTAAAATTTCATCTCTTAGAAAAACATAGAGCACACAATCAAATAAATAATATTGATAAAAGAATCTTCCTTTACATAGTTACAAACAACTTGGAAGGTGAGAGGATTTGCGGAGGTCACTGTTCCAATACTTCCGTGGGTGCACTGCTCGGGTTGTGTTTCTCTGTGTCACTCCTGGGGTTGGTACGATCTCCAGCGGGAGCAGGGCTGGGGCTGGCCAGGTCCCCAAGGCGGTCTTCGACCTGAGTCCACGAGGACAGTGACTCGTGCACGGTGATAGTGTGCTCTTCCATCTGGCGCTGTAGGCTGTCCATCTCTTGCCTAGGGAGGAGACAGAACAGGCAAAGCGAGAACACTACATCAGATGAGAGCCAGGCAGAGATGCCCACGGCTTCCTGAAAAGAGGCTGAGTCAGTTATCCACAGGTTCATCTGCAGCCAGCTCCAACTGGATGGCAGCTAGCTCCCTAGAATTTGTGGTGCCTTCAGGGACCAACAGGAAAATCAACCAAGGTCTCGAGTTTAAGAGGCTCTCCCGGCGTTGTTGTCTGTGCTGTGCATGAGACTAAACAGCCTGTGTGGCTTGGGCAGGCGTGTGCTTCCGTCTGGAATGGGGGAGTGACACTGGGGAGGAAGGAGAGATAAGATGGAGGGTCCGACTGACCAAGTCACTGCTGTGGGAAGCCCCACTTCAGGCCTGTGTCACACACGACTTCACTCACAGGGTCAGACGAGATGCTCCGTTATCTCCCCATAGAGGACCCCTCAAGCACCAGCCCCACTGCCCAGGATGGGTGCCTCCACCTCAGGGCTGATTTAACATGGACTTGCATGCCATGTCTGTGTAAAAGTAACCACTTCTAAATGGAGACCTGCTCAAGCTCTGAGTTCAACATGAAACTTTATTTGTAAAGACTAAACAAAAGGGAACACAAGGCACGTACTTCAGTTGCTGGAGACAACTGTTCAAGTTCTTCAGGGGCTCCTTGCTCACAGCGGGCGGGGGTCTGAGCAACTCCTCCAGCAGCGAGGCGGGGACCGGGCAGTCAGGAATCTTAACTGGTGTCACAGGGTTGGAGGAGCTGGCCTCACCCTTCAGCTCCTTCCTCTGTATAAAAGCACATCATTAGTTTTTCCATTCAGAGGCCTGAAGCCACTGTCCCCTTCTCTGTGAGGCCTTCTCCAACCACCCTCTACCTGTCTCTTCTATCACAACACAAGGGGTCTCACTGAGTCTCCCCCACCTTGATGGCAGGTCCTCACAGGAGAGAGGGGGTAGGTACTGCTCACTGTGCATCAACAGTTAGGAGATGTCAGTGAGTGAATCAATTACTGCATTTCCAACATACTGCTCATCGTTCATCA